GATGTATCTTTTTCGGATCTTTCCTTGTTCTGGTGGTCGTTATTCACATGTTTGAAGAAGGCATCGGCGAATGGATCTTGCTGGTGTACATCTCAATGTCTTCACGACCGAGATTTTTCTTCATGATCCAGTTGTTGCTCATTATGATGTCCCCTCGGGATCAAATGTTGTAACAATGTTTCTCGCCTCGATGGTTTGTTCTGTCAATGCTGTTTGCTCTTCGGAGAGTCGGACGTCGTAGTCCTGGTCTTTGAGGAATGCCAGGATCAACAATGCATCTCTTCCTGTTGGCACATGTGTCAATGCTGTTCTGACGCTTCGTCATCAAGGATAACGTCGTCGATGCATGCCATGTGGATGTGCATTCTCCCCGAAGGATTTGACTGGGATCTCCCACATTTCAGCCCGTGCTCCATGATGTTGATCAAATGCTCTCCATATGTTGCATGGAACATGAACGTGATGGGCTTCTTCGCGAAAGGCTTGATCTTTCTCTCTTCTTCAATGGATTGTGGCGCCGGCCTTCGCATTCTGTATTTTGCCTGAGCTGCGCCTTCGTCTTCGTGGGGCGCGTCGGATCTTGACGGATGCGGACTTGGAGGAATGGATTCTGTTGGAAGATCATAGTCCGGTTCTTCTTGGCGAGGCTCACTCTTCTGTTCAGAGTACAGGGGTCGTCCAAAAGATTGGAGATCGACTTGTCGTGTATGACCGCTGTTGCATCTCACGTAACGTAGAACTCCATCTCGGGACCATTGAGGAATTCCTTGCCATTAGGCCGGAGTGCATCGTGTGCGGATCTAGAGGTGAGGTTGTCGATCCATCGATTTCTTGGAACAATGTTTCCCTTTGCCTTGCGCTCATTGTATGGCCCGTCCACGGATGGATACACGAACGCAATCTCGAAACGTGCCTTTCCATAGTTCGGGAACATAGCCATCAGGAGCAGTCCTGGCTTATTGCCCATGAAGTTCCTTGCATGGGTAATGCGTCCCAATGCGTCATAGAGCTCAATGGATCCGTCAGGACCCATGTCCACTTGTCGTCGGCATTCTCTGTGGTGGCCTTGTTTGGGATCATGTCAAAAACATCCTGAAAACAATCTGCTCAATCGCTCGATTCGCCAGAGGATGAAGTCGGTGATCTGTTTTGCTTTGGATGGAGCCATGTTGAAATATTTGCAAACCTGCTCAACATTCTGGACGGTCTTCTCGAGATCAATATGGCGGTTGTGACATACCATCGGAATGATGTCAGTAATCATTGAATCTGGCTCTCAGCCAGAATACCTTGGCTCCATGTTCTCGTTCATGCTCAGGAATGAAGTGGAAGTCCGGATTCATCTCAAGGATGGTAGAGCACTCCTTGTAGTATTCGTAGAATCGAGTCTTCCCGAAAGGTCCTGGATGTACGGATGCCCTCTGGAGGCAGATGTCGGTATCTGAACCGTCTGGTACATACCACCGATTGTTGGATGTGAGAGTTGGCCGCATCGCTGGTCGCCTTGGAAGTGCAGGTCGTTCACCAGGAAAATTGTCCGATTCTGTCTCCTCATCCAATACGTTCTTTGGCGCTGGATGAACCTTTGATACAAGCTTCAGCGTCGGCGGCGGTGACCTCGGAATCAGTTTTGGATGTGGCATCGCCTTCGGCATTGGATTTTCTGCGGGAGGTTGCTCTTCGTCACCCAGATCATCAGTTGTCGGTATCCTGATCATAATCGACCTGCTCCATGTTGACATTATCTGGTTGTTGAGAGACGGATGGATTCTCACCGACGACCTGCTCCATGGGGCAATCGGATGTCTCATCTTCCTCATCACGAGCAGGAGATTCCTTCAACGGAGATGCCCGTCTCTTCACTAGCGGCTTCGGCGAAGGAGCCGCAGTGCTGGATTGTCCAAAGATCATGTTGAGAATCGGCATGTCTTCGAGGTGATCAAGCATACACGATTGCAAAGGTCGGAATGGTTGTAAACCAAAAGTGGCTGCGGATGCAGACACATATTTCTTGAGATTCAAAATGGGTCAAGTGCAAAAACACGCATCACGGATTTGAGGAATTGAAAATGTGCCAAATGAAAAACTCATGCATCAGAATTCGTGGACATGCGGATCATGCCCAGGTTCCCCAATAAGCAAACCTGGATTCTGCTACACCGACTCCTGCAAAGGCAATGATGTCGGGTCCGTGCTTCGTATTGTGCGCTAGCCACTCAACCAGAAACGCCTTGTTCTGCAACATAGTACGGAAAGGTGGATGTGCATCAACATTCAAGAGATTGCCGGTGAGGACGGCCTTGATGAGCTCGTCTGCTTTAGCTGAATGCTTGGTCAGCGAATCTGCCAGGCAATCTTCACTCCGTACATGTGCAGGTCATGCATCTGTCCACTGTTGCTTTCTTTTCTCAACATTTGGATCAAATGCGTTGTCTCTTTCTGTTCGGGTATAGCTTTTTTTAAAAAAAAGACTATTGTGTTCTGTTCCGGTTGATGTGTTGTGGATGCTGTGGTGACAAGATTATTCGCATCAGTGCGGATGTGTACATCTGCGACTTCGCCTGTTCTGTCTGACCAGAGACCGCGAAGAAATAATGCTGAACCGTAACAACGCATCAGTCCGTGCAATTCTGCAACAGTAGTGGACATGGTTGTGGCGGTGATCTTGTGCGTCTCATAGTCGACCAATGAGCCTCTCGAGTTCGATGAGCCCTGGCGAAGATCTCTTTGTTCTGCAAGAAATATAACATGCGCACGTTGGGATGACTTATCATCATTGTTGCGATAGGATGCATCTGGATAACCAACTATGCGTGTCTTGCCACGAAGGGGCCAGAATCTCATACTAAGCGGGATGCTTTTGATGGTTCTGACTGTCTTATTAATGGCGCGAACGTCCTCAATGGTCGGGGATGATGCCTTGGATGCGCACCTGGAGAATTGATAGCCAATGTGGAATTGCGTTCGCGATTGTAACCAATTGATCTGACCTAGGACACTCCTGTATGCAGTATGCATTTGTGGAGTGAGAGGAGTGTCGTCCTTCAGGTGTTTGTCAAAGGTGATCTCCTGCAGTTCGTCAATGGCAACGTTCTGATGGACATTGATGTACCAGCCATGCTTGTCGTCTTGCTTCCATTGGACGCGTTGTCCTACGAAGAGGCAATCATTTTTGTCTTCGGAACCAACTTGAAAATCTTTACGAAGTCGTCCCATGATTCCCTTCTCGAACACATCATCACCCGTCATAAGAAGACTTCTTATCACTCACCAATGCGGGCTTCGGAAGCTGCTTGCCGTAGTAGACATATGTACAACGGTCTGCCTGGTTGGCACCAGCCCGTAAGAACGGAGTGCCGAATCAAGGATGTTCCACCATCTGCGGGGTGCGTCATTTAGCCCGTAGGCAGGCTTCTTCATGCGCGCTCCTATGTGTGGTGGATATCCCATTTCAGGAGGGATCTGACAAATGATGTCACGAGTCTGATCGTATGCTTCGCCTTGGAGGAATGCTGTCTTCAAATCCATGTGAAATATATTCCAGCCCTTATTTGCGGCTGCTTGGATTGCAAGGCGGAAGCCACTCCTGGATGCAGCAGGACTGTCTGTCTGCTGATCGTTCTTCTGCTTGTCTTGGAAGCCCCGGAGGACCCAGCGAGCCTTGGTCTTTAGGAAGTTACCATCCTTGTCTCGCTTTAGGGTAAGGACCCAGCGACCGGTGACGAATCTTGCGTGTGTCGACTAAGTCGAACACTTCGTTATCAAGCCAAGATTTACACTCAAGATGCTTAGCTTCAAGGAATTGCTTCTGATAAGCCCTTGTCTCAGTGGCTGTCGCTTCCTTCCGCTCCTTGCCAATGGATGAAGCCTTCAAGGATTCTTGCTTGGATGAGTACAAGACTAAGAGTGCACGGTCATCGTCGGTCATGTTCTTGCATAACTGGTCAACATGATTCTTATCTGTGTATCTCTGATGAGAGAATCCGCATCGGGGCGATGGGTTGAAGGTCCCTTTCACACGTCCAAGAAGGACAGGGTTGCCTTCAATATCTCTGGGAACCGTAAAGGATCCGGTGTTCGCACAGATCTTCTGTTCGGCTGTCATGAGTGACCAATGCGCTTCATCTAGAACGAGATCAGCTTGGTGATCATCGTGAGATCTGGTCCTCTGAGAGTCTTCTGATTCTCCATCTTCCTGGTCAGTATATCTCATGGTTCTCTCTGAACTTCCAGTGCCGGATGAGGTTGGAACATGAGGGATTAGTTCTTCCTCACTTTCATTTTGTACCGGCAAGTTTGCTGGATTGTTCGGATTGAAATTGGATGAAGATGCAGGTTCACCTCTGGGAGAATGCTTAGGTGACTCATCATTGTCATCTGGCTTCTTCTTCTTCTTCTTCTTCTTCTTCTTCCCAGTTTTCTGCTTCTTGGATGGACTGCCAGTTGCGGAGCTACTACAAATGACTGTTTGAAGCATATATCTGCACAGAATCATGTCTGAGATTTGTACGACGCTGCTTCACAATGGATGGATGACGTTTGATTATTTGGTCTGCGAGTCAAAGTTCGAACATCTATTGACACCGAACGAGCCAATGGAAATAGGGGATTCGAGTTTACTGGGCCCGCCTGATATATCAGCCTTTGTGGGGGGGCCCCCTAACATCTCTGGCGGGGGGGGGCCCCCCCCACGACCGTCACAACCAGTGACAGTTCAAGCCCCAATGCCTAACTCAAGCTTTTCGACCGCCCCTTCTCAGCTAGCTGAGGTAAACGAAAACTTCAGCCTAGCTCCAAGGAGCTAGCTTTGTGAAAAAGGTCTACCCAGAACCATGCAAAGCATAAGAAGGCGGATATCCGCAGCTATTTATGGTTGGGATTGTCCCTTACTACCCTTCATCCACCCGAGTTTTGATTGTGGCTCACCTGGGCCACCCAAACGGGGGGTAGATGGCCGCGCGCTGCGAGTCTGCGAGTCTGCGACCGCTGCTTCCGCGGGCTCACAGCTCTTCAGAGCCGCCTGGCGCCGACATTCTTCGAGTGGCTGCGGGAGGGATCTGGGTTCCGTGCTTTGGAAGGTACCCTTGTTAGCTGGATTTACACGCTAGGTCCTCCTGATTTGAGAGGTTAGAAGAAGTTGGTACCATTTTTTTTCTGTAGTCTACTTTAGTGGGGGACCCCCCCCAAAAAAAAAATGTGTAAAAGAGCACTACTGGGGGACCTAGAATGGGAACCTGAAGGACATATACTATCCGGTTTTGGAGCTCCCTGCAAAAACAAACAAAGCCATCTTAGGCGCCTTGCCACACCTCGAAAATGCAGCCTCCATGTCCAACAGAAAGGCCAACCACCAGCTTAGAGTGTTAGAACAACCAACGGCAAAACCACCAGCTTGACTGACGTGGCAAAACCACTCCTGCCGTGCTGAAGACTCAGTGTCACCTCCGGCCTATGATCCAACCACCTTGCCCATCCCTGAGTGCATAGGAGTCTTTTCACGACAATGGACAACTCAGCGAAGATATTTTCTCAGAAGCTACGGATCCCTAAAATCTTGACCCTTTCCGAGAACTGAGAACTCTCAGTAATTTCGAGGCGGACACACAACCAGCTCATGTTTTATCAATTCATCCACACAGCTCTTTTGCAGAGAACACTGAGGGCAGGGGCTTTGTCCCAAGCCTGACCGGCTATTTGACCTCCATCGCACCTGAAATGAGAAAGCTCCAACAAAATGTTCATGAGCCGGTTTCTTCACTGGTGAGTTTGCCACGAGAAGAAAGTGCTCACGAGCACGCCTTTAAATCCGGGCTGAATGCTGATGCAAGCATGAGCAACCGCCAGATTCACACCCCTTGGACAGCCCCAACGCAGACGACCCCGTGCGGAACATGAAAATAGACCACAACTGGAGGTGCGCATGGGGGGGTGGGGCAGACATGTTATGAGACTAGGTCCTCCAGTAGAGAGGTTAGAATAAGGGTACCCTTTTTCTGTAGTCTATTCTAGTAGGGAAACCCTCTGGGGGGACCTAGGAGAAACGTATCCCCTGCCTTCAAAGTCTTCTTTGATCTGCTGGAAATTCAGGAACACCGCCTTCACCTCCTCAGGTGTCCTGAGGTGGCAGTTAACCACGCTGTGCAGTTGGCGCCACTATGGGACAGTTGCCTCGCCACTGGCATGCGCTGAGACATTTGCTTGGCTCCGAACTCAAAGCCGCTTAAACAAAAAAAATCCGGCGGGACCGCAAAAGGTTCTGAGGGATCTTGTGACAGATCGTGTTCTTCTTCGGGCCCCGAGCAAACCGAGCAAGGGGCTTTTGCCACGCGAGTTTGGGCGAAGTTGTCATTTCTCCTCAAAACGAAAACCAATAGAAGACGTGCTCAACATCTTTCATGCAAGGAGCTTGATGACCATAACCCCAGGTGTATGACCATTAAAGCTCTTGGATCCGCTAGATCCTACGATTCGCCTTTCATCTCGTAAGTTTGAGAATGCTCCAGGTACAAAGGACCTCTCTTTGTCGGGCCACTTCAAGAACAGAGGGGATCCTTGACTTCTGGAAGAAACACCTAACCTGTTAGGTGCTTAGGTTCTATCCGCGCTGGTGGTTCGCAAAAGGCCAACGACCTGAGAAAATACAAGGTTATATTCCCCTGAGGCAGTAGGTAGGGTCAAGATTAGAGTTCAAGAGGCGGTTTTTTTTGTGGTTGGCCTCATCCATTTCGCTTGACCAATCCTGCCACTTCCGAGCGATGCCGGTGCCCCTGCCGGGGATTTCGCCGCGCTCAAGAAGCTCAGCAAATCAATGCCCGTGCCGAGGGGGGAATGATGTCAGTTGCATCCATTGCTTCCCCCTGGCTTGAAAAAGAAAACTGACCAAATCGCTGGTGCTCCATTTTTTCACCGAAAAGCAACAGCTGGGGTGAACGCCCCAAGTTTCCCATTGGGGGAACCAGTATTTTTCTCTAACGACACAGCAACAGCACAAAGGATGGTCCGTGCCGAAAGCTTGGGTGACCATCTGCGCCAAACGCTGGTGAACATTTGGATTCTCAAAAATGGACACCCACCAAATGGGCATGTTCTCTTCGGTCTCCCTTTCAAACAACGAAAAGTGCACCCGCAGCCTCTCTAGGTCCTCCAGTGGAGAGGTTGGAATAAGGGTACCCTTTTTTCTGTAGTCCATTTCAGTAGGGGAACCCTCCCCAAAGAGTAAAAGGGCACTTAGCTGGGGGACCTAGCTCTTAAAACACATAGCACCTCCCTTTGGGCTCGGAATCCGTTTGAGACGAGCATCGAGAGGCCCTCGTCCGACAGCGGCTGGTACCGCGGCGCGGGGCCTTCCTCACCAGCCCTCAGAGCGGAGGGTTTGGACCCACAACCGGAGGAACCGGAGGAACCGAAAAAAACGGGTTGATCCTCCGTTTTGGGGGGGCTTGGAAGGGAGTCACAGGGCAGGGGTCTTGCGATTTTTGGTGGGAAGGGAGACCTGGTTTTTCAAAGGAAACGGGGTAGAGGGTGGAGCACTCTTGCCATGTCAAATATCTCTAGTGTCCCCGCAAAAAGGAACACGTTTCTCAAAACTCATCTAGCTCAACCTGTGTAGGATGGTGTGTGCTGGCATGCATTCAACGTAAGTTGCAGCCGGAAATTAGGTGACAGCTTGATCACAGCTCAGTCCGTCCACGTGTGTTTCTTGCCCGTCTCCGTGTGGCAAACATTGGCCAAGCTGTCACAGTTGTAAGGACACGATGAATATCATGGTCCATGGTCCTTCAATCGGACTCCCCATGCTGCCTAACTGCAACATCAAGGCTAGAAGATGTCGCCAATTCAAAGGATGGCAAACACCAGCTTGAAGGCTTAGGTCGGGACCATCCCCAATGAAGCCGTGCTGGGTCCAGCAAGAATCGACGGATTGTGGCATACTCACAAACAACAAGCCTGATAAAAGAACAGTTGAACCAGGTAATCAGTACCAGCCAAGCTTTCTGCCGGGGCGCGCGACTTGCAGCGCGTGGTGGTACACGTCGTGCCAGTAGCGGAACCCAGCCTCTCACATTGCTGAACTGGTTCCCAGCTACCCCCATCCTGGCAGTATCAAACATCAAAACATGTGCTCCAACGTCTTCAGATCCGAGTTCCTTGCATGCCCCTCTTGAAACAGCTCACCGAAATTTGCTCCGAACAGTTGTATTGAGACCACACATTAAGTCTTCGGCTAAATCTTCAATGCAAAGAAAGGCGCCCATGAGAGGTTGTCATGTTTCGGAGACGTATTGTTTGCCGCCGTTGAAGGAGGTTCATGTTGCCACCTCCCCCACGAACCGCTTCCCAAAACGCCAAACCGCTCGCCAAAGTAGGGGGTCTGGAAAGATTGCACAAGTTGGGGTGTGTCCTTAAGTGTTTTGGCCTTTCTTCATTCGGGCGCGCCTGTTTTTGAGAGTGCGCCCTTCTTGGTGGTTTGTAAGAAGGGAACCAGAAGGAAAGCCAAGCATGTTTGGTGCCACCGGCCATTTCGGGAAATGACCCAAAAACCTTTGGCTTTGCACCAAATCACCTGAATCCACTCGAAGCGCCTTGTAGCAGCGCGGGGAGTCCACGCGCCCCGGCGCGTCTCGGTCTGCAACGAGCGCCTGTGCTCTTCTTGGCTTTGGTCCAAACTGCACCACCGCAGCTTGGCGAAGGAAGCAAAAACCGGTTCGGAGAACCAAAGATGTGAAGATGGAGGGTTGGGCGAACGAGTTTTCAGTTCTGACTAGGGGTCACGTATGTTTACTTCTGTAAATAGAAACGAGTATACAAAATCACTACCCTCTTAAGTGTCTGGACGTGTGTTTTTGTTTTTAGTGTGGCCCCTGGCAATTGGCCATGCAAATACAGCCCTGTCCTGATCCTTAGCCAACCCCCCCCCGAATTCTCTTTTGAAGGGGATGGTGACTTTACAAGCAAAGTGAGGCGGCGAAAGAAAAACCGCGAACCTGGCAAATGGCCATGGGTCAAAATCCCGCAATTCCAGTGAACATCCCAATCCCCACTAACAAAGACTAAAATGGGTGTTGCACCTACCCCAAAATGGTACCATTGGTTTTGACCCACGGCAAATCGCTCTCAATATCTGCCAGTTCGTTGAAGCCTTGCAGTTCAACGGTCACACGTTTTTCTAGGGGTAACTTCCCCATTCTTTCCAGGGATCCGGATCTTTCTGGAAAACCACCAAAAACCCTGGCAAATGGCGATCGGTTTTTGAAAAGAACAATGGCTGAAAAGAATGGGGAATCAACCCCTAGAGTTTTAGCACACGCGCATCGTTGCGTACGGTGGTTCAAAACTCCCAGTGAGTGGTTCACATGCGGGGGAGCTTCTCAGGTTGAATTGAACTCCGTTGTCCAGATTGATCCGTTCGGTTGCCCATTCACTAGAAGGAGCAAGCTTTGTTCACAGAGAATGTGTCGCCTCCTTCAACCCATGGACAACTTACTGGGGTGTCCTGTTTGAGAGACCAATCTTCACTGCGGCAACCCCCAGTTCATGATCCGGGATGTTTAACCCAACATCGACATGCGGTGCACTTGCAGCCCAGCAACCATGCATCAGCCATGGACTAGAGTTGCGTTGGCTTTATTCTCACGATGCTTGCATCATCTCAGATCTCAAAGGACATTTCTCCAACACATCATGGACTGGAACTCGCTGGAGAAAAGTTGCGGGCGCAACTTGGCCCCTCACTGCATCTCTGCACATCGCAACCCCCCGAGCCTCATCTTGTGGACAACCTATGGCTATGGGTCAAAACCCCATACCCCCAGTGAACATCCCAAACCCCACTAAAATGGGTTCTAAAATGGGTGGTGAATTCACCTACCAACCAAAATGGTACTGTATTGGTGTCGCCTGTCATCTGGGCATTCGATGCCAGGCCTCAACTGGGCCTGAAAACATGAAACCAGCACCGAGGGCTTTCCATGGGTCCAGGACCCCATTTTCCAGAGTCAAGCCCAACTAGGTCCTCCAGTAGAGAGGTTACAATAAGGGTACCAACTTTCTTCTGTCTATTTTAGTAGTGGAACCCTCCCCCAATGGGGGACCCAGCCAAGCTCCCAACTCCAATCAGTGCGCCCAAGCTCGCGCCTCAAAGTTGAGCCAGTGGTTGGCAAAGTGCAGAATCCTGGCCTCGACGGTCCAACTCAAAAGAGATGCGCCACCGACCCCTTGCACTAAGTCTTGGTTGACGTTGGAAGGGGAGCCAAAAATCATTGTTTGCAGTTAAGTGCACTAAAAACCACGTTAAGCAAAGATGTAAAATGTTTCCCAACAACAACCATGAAATCGTGAGATCACCGTTGCTGACGTGCCCAACAGACCTGGACATGGCAAAAAAACAACAACCAGGTGAGCAAGCCGCCGGCTGTAGCAGCCTGAGTTTTCATTCGGGATCTGGCTTCATCGAACAACATATGGTGGTTGATCTAAATTCCTTTGTCTCGAAACGGCCATTCTTCGCGAATAAAAAAGTTACTTTCGCAAAATCTTTCGCGGATTCATCGCCGTGCTCTTTTCATTTCTCGAGTCAGAGAATCGCAGCTTTTAAGTGCCAGCGTTGTAAGCGAAATGACGAGTTCCCAACTCCAGCTGTAAAGTCGCAACTGTTCATCACAGGGGTAGTACATGACATGCGCCGGCTGGAAAGTCGCAGCTTTTCGTTCGCCGTGCAGCTCCAGCTTGAAGTCGCAGCTTTCCAGTACCAAGCCAAGCTAGTATACTGACTAGATCGGCGCTCAGACTATACCTCCCCTTGCAATCGAAGCCTGCGCTTTCGCACGGGCTTTCGCGGATCTTTCGCGGAACTTTCGCGAAAAATCACCCACGTTTCAGAGCGGAAAGCCACCGACTAACACCCACAGACACACATACACAGGCTTGGAGCACTAACCAGCCAAGCAGAGTATCAAACTGTAGCCTCACCAGGCTTTCTCAGCGCAACAGCAACAAAGTGCTTTAATCAGAATAGAAGGAAGGCTCAGCAGAAAAGATGAACGGTTCCACATATCACTGATTTACCAGATACAGTTTTGCAACACTTTCGCGAGACAAAAAGTTACTTTCGCAACTCCATCGCGAATCTTTCGCGGAGCTACCTCAACCAACACCGATGGTCACCGAATACTAAACTCCTTTCCCATATGTGCGCGACCCAAAACTCCCCCATGTGGGGCATGGTTATGGTTCCCTTAGCAACCAATAAGCAATTTATTTGTGCAAAGTTCTTTGTGGGTTTCATGACCATGCCTACCACGTTCAAATCAGGGGCCTTCCGACCATGGCACATGGTTAAACCATTATGTGCCCGAATGAGCGGCCTGTTTTTGGTGTCCCCCGTCTTTTGGGGAGCCGCCAGGGTCCAACAAGGAACAGCCAAACGGTGGACAACCCATATGGGTGTCTCTTTTTGAGGGTGCCCCTTTTTGTTTGTTTTTTCCCCCAAACAGTGTGTTTACTGGGGGGTTCTTACGGTGAGAGTGAAGGCCCTGTCCGGGAGCACTTTGCGTGGTATTTACCGCACATTCGTGATGCTGCATGATGTCGGGGTGCGTTTTGACTGCGCAGGCTCGCACAAAATGAGGCCCCCCGAGTTTGTCCGGCAGCATTTTGCGTGGCATTTACTGCAAAGTCGTGATGTTGTATGGCGTCGAAGTGTGTTTCGATAGCGCAGGCTCGCGCAAAATGAGGCCCGCGAGTCTGGCCGCGAGCACTTTGCCTGGCATTTAGCGCAAACTCGTGATGTTGTCTGATGTCGAAGATGTCGAAGTGCGTTTCGACTGCGCAGGCTCTCACAAAATGAGGCCCGCAAGTTTGGCCGGGAGCATTTCGCGTGGTAGCTACCGCAAAATCGTGATGCTGTATGATGTCGAAGCGCGTTTTGACTGCGCAGGCTTGCAGAAAATGAGGCCCGCGAGTGTGGCCGGGAGCGTATTTACCGGAACATCGTGCTGTTGTATGATGGCGAAGTGCGTTTCGACTGCGATGGCCCGCGAGTCTGGCCGCGAGCACTTTGCGTGGCATTTACCGCAAACTCATGATTTTCCATGATGTCGAAGTGACACTGCGCAGGATGAAGTTCGTGTAAGTTTAGCCTTGGGCAAATATGCTCTTCGGTTTGCTGGTGGGTGGAAGAGTTTGCTGCGGGACATAGGTACAGAAACTTACAGTGACGCTAATAATTCCACAACCACGCGCTTGCGTTGCGACTTGCTCTCGTAAATCTAGGGCCGTTGGCAGTGCGTCGCGTGCCTCAGTCGGCTTGTTGCGCGGCATGGAAACCTCCAATTCCATGTTTCATGAAGATGCTGGAAGCCACCCACTCCATGCTGTTGTCGGTATACAAGCGTCCGCAGGATGCCCATGTCTTTCCAGCCCGTGGCCGCCGAGTCAGCTTGATTGCTTACGCCCGTCAATGTTTGGGGTCTCTTGCCGGGATAATTCTTGAAGGGGAACCAAAAGGAACAGCACCAATTTGGGGGGGGTTCCCTTGAATGCACGAACATCCAAGTTGGGCTGCGGTCCCGCCTTCTCAACTGCGCGCCGCTCGACGGGATCGTCGCAACGATCCTCATGATTGGCCCGTGACCCTCCGCTTTTGCGGAAGTAAAAGCTTCAGCCCTGCGGTTCAAATAACCATTAAAACAACTCTAAAACAATGGGGGTTCATATAACCACCATGGTCTACCTAGGGATTGCCATCCAAATTGGGTCAATCATTCATGGTGAACCCCGTGCCCTCCCACGGGTTGTACACTGACCCCGTAAGACTTCCCTCTCGACGTGCACTTCTCCACTCAGCACAGGCATCCCTCAATTGTCCGCACTTAGGGTCACTGAAGGGGCAAGCCTCGTTTCAGGTTTTCGGAGATCTGAATCAACAACTCTCCACTCACCACAACCAGCAACCAAAGACAACGTTTTCCTATTTACCCATGAGGGGATGCGTATGGGTCAGTGCTTAGGTGGGATGTTCGAGCTATTTGCTTGAGAGTAACTCATCCTTTCGCGGCAAGCGCAAGCAACTCCAGCCGGAGAAACTTGCCCGTGGGAAAGACCAATCTCCTTCGTCGCAACCCCAAGGGACCAGGCCAAACCCCTGTTTACTAATATGGGGGTGCCCCTGCTTTTGGGGATTTGCCACTTTTCGAGGGGAACACACCCATATTACTAAACAGGAGATTTTGTTTGATCCGGGGTCAACATGAAACATGAATGATCAATGACCAAAGGCAGACCTCGCGCGCCCCCTCGAATCGAATGGTGCGCGCAAAACCAAAAGCTCCAGGCCCGTCACACAGTTCCCTTTGCACCCCCCGATTTGTTCGTCCCCAAAAGCGGGCACCTCGGCTTGGCCACCGAAAAACCTGGCACCACACGTGTTCTTCAGATACTCCCAAATCTACAAAGGGGCCCCCAAACGCATCTACAAATTGTTGTTAGGTTCCATGTCAATCTGTCAGAGAGTAGCTGTTCCAACAGCTGTTCCGAGCTCCCGTCGTCAAGGGAACCACTCCTTATCCACGGGCTAATGATTGCCGTTCAACATCCCAATCCAAAACAACAAGCGGGCTTCACGCTTAGACAAACTTGAGGGGCGGTGCCCTCTGTTCAAGAAACAACAACTGCGCAACAAAATCAAGTTCGAATTAAAAAAAAGACGCTCTTGTTCAAACAGCCTCCTCTTGGTCTCCCTTTGAAGGGCCAAGGTCTGGTTTCCACATGCTTTTTGCAGCCAACCCCGGCCCATTGACAGGATGGGTTTCTTTGAACCCAGTCCTTTGCACGGTAGGACACCACCAAGTTGAACTCACTGGACATGAGCGCCGGCTTCCGCTTGCGAGCCAAGTCCTGACAACCGATATCCAGGGATCTGCCAAACCAGCGACTGGCTATGTCCGTTTGAGGATTTCCGAACATTCTGCTTATCCCCAACAGCGACGCATACAGAAACTTGCCTTACGCACTGGGCTCCAAGATACTTTATCAAAAGTTTAACTGGCCAAAAGCCTCCCAAGACGGGCCTGTGGGTGGTGCCCCTCCCCAGGGCTTGAATGAGATATACAGCCACCAAAAACAGCCGCCAACCTTCAAAGGCCGATTCGACTTTTAGTGAAGCTACCACTAAACCTTAAGAAGCTCAGAAGCCAAGGAACCGGCACGAATAGAAGCTTGCCCTAAGGGAATCAATGTTGAGCTTTAGGCACAGGCACGGTGGAAATTGCTGGGTTTGAGAGCCCATCGGTTTCCGACACGTCTTATTTTAGCAAGTACTGCGGGAATGGAAGAGGAGGAATGGAAGAAGGGCAGAAGAGAAGCTAGTTAGAAAGGAAGCAAAGGAAAGAAGGAAGACAGGGGAGGAAGAGTTGCATTTCCACACCATCAATGAAACGCCCAATGCAAAACTCGACAGGTGCTTTACATGAAGCAAGTAAAGCAATCGCGAACATTGCTTCCTTGCAACAAATCGGGCGCCAGCTTTGACCGCGGACGCGAAAGGCGAGCAACAGTATCCAGCAACCAATCAGGCCCAATTGTGCAAATTTGGGGCAACTGATGAATTTAGAAACAACAACGAAAAAGCTGTGGCCGAACCCTTCGCATGCTAAAGAAACCCGGGCACGCCGGTGACCGGCGGTGTTTTTCCCAAAAGCATCTCTGATGCTTGGGTTCTGCTTTAGGTTTTCTCTTAAGGTGCCTGGGAGCGATACAAGCTGTGACGACGGATATAACAAGGGATTTCCATTTCGTTGTGCTGCAGACCGGGCGTGCGATGCCGGCTGGGGGTGCAGACCGGGCGTACGAGGCTGGCTGGGGGGACGGCGGTGTGGGGCTGGCTGGGTGCGCGAGACTGGCGCGGTGGACGCTCGTGACAAGCGGAAACCGCCCCCGAGCGAGACGGGCGCGGGGCACGCTCGTGACAGGCGGAAGCCGCCCCCGAGCGAGACTGGCGCGGTGGACGCTCGGGGCATGCGGAAACCGCCCGCGAGCGAGACTGGCGCGGTGGACGCTCGTGACAAGCGGAAACCGCCCCCGAGCGAGACGGGCGCGGGGGACGCTCGTGACAGGCCGAAAGCGAGACGGGCGCGGGGGACGCTCGTGACAGGCCGAAACCGCCCCCGAGCGAGACGGGCGCGGGGGACGCTCGTGACAGGCCAAAACCGCCCCCGAGCGAGACGGGCGCGGGGGACACTCGTGACGGCCGAAACCGCCCCCGGGGGACGCTCGTGACAGGCCGAAACCGCCCCCCAGCGAGACTGGCGCGGGGGACGCTTGTGACACGCAGAAACGCTCGTGTCAGGCCCCCGAGCGAGACGGGGCGCGGGGGACGCTCGTGACAAGCGGAAACCGCCCCCGAGCGAGACGGGCGCGGGGGACGCTCGTGACAGGCCGAAACCGCCCCCGAGCGAGACGGGCGCGGGGGACGCTCGTGACAGGCCGAAACCGCCCCCGAGCGAGACGGGCGCGGGGGACGCTCGTGACAGGCCGAAACCGCCCCCAAGCGAGACGGGCGCGGCGGACGCTCGTGACAGGCGGAAACCGCCCTCGAGCGAGACTGGCGCGGTGGACGCTCGTGACAGGCCGAAACCGCTCCGAGCGAGACGGGCGCGGGGGACGCTCGTGACAGGCCGAAGGCGCGGTGGACGCTCGTGACAAGCGGAAACCGCCCCCGAGCGAGACGGGCGCGGGGGACGCTCGTGACAGGCCGAAACCGCCCCCGAGCGAGACGGGCGCGGGGGACGCTCGTGACAGGCCGAAACCGCCCCGAGCGAGACGGGCGCGGGCAGGCCGAAACCGCCCCCCGAGACGGGCGCGGGGGACGCTCGTGACAGGCCGAAACCGCCCCTGAGCGAGACGGGCGCGGGGGACGCTCGTGACAGGCCAAAACCGCCCCCGAGCGAGAGGCGCGGGGGACGCTCGTGTAAGGCCGAAACCGCCCCCGAGCGAGACCGCCCCCGAGCGAGACTGGCGCGGTGGACGCTCGTGACATGCGGAAACCGCCCGCGAGCGAGACTGGCACGGTGGACGCTCGTGACAAGCGGTAACCGCCCCCGAGCGAGACGGGCGCGGGGGACGCTCGTGACAGGCCGAAACCGCCCCCGAGCGAGACGGGCGCGGGGGACGCTCGTGACAGGCCGAAACTGCCCCCGAGCGAGACTGGCGCGGTGGACGCTTGTGACAAGCGGATACCGCCCGCGAGCGAGACGGGCGCGGGGGACGCTCGTGACACGCCGAAACCGCCCCCGAGCGAGACGGGGCGCGGGGGACGCTCGTGAGAGGCCGAAACCGCCCCCGAGCGAGACGGGCGCGGGGGACGCTCGTGACAGGCCGAAACCGCCCCCGAGCGAGACGGGCGCGGGGGACGCTCGTGACAGGCCGAAACCGCCCCCGAGCGAGACGGGCGCGGGGGACGCTCGTGACCCGAGCGAGACGGGCGCGGGGGACGCTCGTGACAGGCCGAAACCGCCCCCGAGCGAGACTGGCGCGGTGGACGCTCGTGACAAGCGGAAACCGCCCGCGAGCGAGACTGGCGCGGGGGACGCTGTGAGAGGCCGAAACCGCCCCCGAGCGACACGGGCGTGGGGGACGCTCTTGACAGGCCGAAACCGCCCCCAGGAAACCGCACCCGAGCGAGACTGGAGCGAGACTGGCACGGTGGACGCTCGTGACGTGCGGAAACCGCCCGCGAGCGAGACTGGCGCGGTGGACGCTCGTGACAAGCGACAAGCGGAAACCGCCCCCGAGACGGGCGCGGGGACGCTCGTGACAGGCCGAAACCGCCCCCGAGCGAGACGGGCGCGGGGGACGCTACAGGCAGAAACCGCCCCCGAGCGAGACGGGCGCGGGGGACGCTCGTGACAGGCGGAAACCGCCCTCGAGCGAGACAAATGGCGCCGATGTGTTTCTAGGACGAACCCTCTCTTGAGAAGCTGTGGCCTCTTGGGGTTCGCCCTACTTATTTGGAAGCAGCCTGGAAGCACGTTGAAAATGTTTATGCTGAGCACACTCGGCCAAACAAAAGGGCGTACGAACATCCGAACGGCTGACCCCGGTCTACGCAGATTGTGTCTCAGACTTGTTTCAGACAGGCGTCAGACCCACCAAGTGACCGAGGCTTGTCCACACCGAGCCCCCGCACTTCTTGCCGCACACAGGACCCGAACAAACGCCAATGTGTTTCTAGGACTCTCTTGAGAAGCTGTGGCCTCTTGGGGTTCGCCCTACTTATTTGGAAGCAGCCTGGACGCAGGTTGACATGAATATGCTGAGCACACGCGGCCCAGACAAAAGGGCGCACGAACATCCGAACAGCTAACCCCGGTCTACGCGGATCGTGGTAACACTGTGTCTCAGACTTGTTTCGGACAGGCGTCAGACCACCAAGTGACCGAGGCTTGTCTACGCCGAGCCCCCCGCAAAAGCACAGCGCCGGCCCCCTCCCACCCAACTTGCCATCTACACGCATCCAATTGACAACGTGCGCGGCTCTTTCCACAAAGTCACCAGTTGCAATTGGTTGCGAATGGGAAAATACGTGGAGCAACTAACGAATCCAAGCAAGCATACGAAGCAAGTTTGTGAAGGCCACGCGGCTCCATGTGAACAGCCCGGCGTTGCAGGTGCGCCAAAATTGTCCTTTTTGCCGCACACCTGACCCGAACAAAGGGTGCCGATGTGTTTCTAGGACGAACCCTGTTTTGAGAAGCTGTGGCCTCTTGGGGTTCGTCCTACTTATTTTGCCGCACACCTGACCCGAACAAATGGTGCAAATGTGTTTCTAGGACGAACCCTCTCTTCAGAAGGTGTAGCCTCTTGGGGTTCGCCCTACGTATTTGGAAGCAGCCTGGAAGCACGTTGACATGAATATGCTGAGCACGCTCGGCCCAAACAAAAGGGCGCATGAACATCCGAACAGCTGACCCCGGTCTACGCGATCGTGGCAACACTGTGTCTCAGACTTGTTTCGGACAGACGTCAGACCCACAAGCTGTGAGGACGGAGATAAGAAGGGATTTCCATTTCGTTGTGCTGCAGACCGGGCGTGCGATGCCGGCTGGGGGTGCAGACCGGGCGTACGAGGCTGGCTGGGGGGACGGCGGTGTGGGGCTGGCTGGTGGGACGGCGGTGTGGTGCAGACTGGGTGCGCGAGGCTGGCCCGCGAGCGAGAGAGACTGGCGCGCTCGTGACATGCGGAAACCGCACGCGAGCGAAAAATGGTGCATGCGGAAACCGCCCGCGAGCGAGACTGGCGCGGTGGACGCTCGTGACATGCGGAAACCGCCCGCGAGCGAGACTGGCGCGGTGGAACATGCGGAAACCGCCCGCGAGCGAGACTGGCGCGGTGGACGCTCGTGACCTGCGGAAACCGCCCGCGAGCGAGACTGGCGTGGTGGACGCTCGTGACATGGAGAAACCGAGACTGGCGCGGTGGACCCTCGTGACATGCGGACAGTGGAACATGCGGAAACCGCCCGCGAGCGAGACTGGTGGACGCTCGTGACCTAGCGAGACTGGCGTGGTGGACGCTCGTGACATGGAGAAACCGCCCGCGAGCGAGACTGGCGCGGTGGACCCTCGTGACATGCGGTGTCGGACTGGCGCGGTGGACGCTCGTGACATGCGATACTGGCGCGGTGGACGCTCGTGACATGCGGAAACCGCCCGCGAGCGAGACTCGCGCGGTGGACGCTCGTGACAGGCCGAAACCGCCCGCGAGCGAGACTGGCGCGGTGGACGCTCGTGACATGCTGAAACCGCCCGCGAGCGAGACTGGCGTGGTGGACGCTCGTGAGCGGAAACCGCCCGTGAGCGAGACTGGCGCGGTGGACGCTCGTGACACGCGGAAACCGCCCGCCAGCGAGACTGGCGCGGTGGACGCTTGTGACAGGCGGAAACCGCCCGCGAACGAGACTGGCGCGGTGGACGCTCGTGACATGCGGAAACCGCCAGCGAGCGAGACTGGCGCGGTGGACGCTCGTGACATGCGGAAACCGCCCGCGAGCGAGACTGGCGCGGTGGACGCTCGTGACAGGCGGAAACCGCCCGCGAGCGAGACCGGCGCGGTGGACGCTCGTGACATGGGGAAACCGCCCGCGAGCGAGACTGGCGCGGTGGATGCTCGTGACATGCGGAAACCGCCCGCGAGCGAGACCGGCGCGGTGGACGCTCGTGACATGCGGAAAACGCCCGCGAGCGAGACTGCGCTCGTGACATGCGGAAACCGCCCGCAAGCGAGACTGGCGCGGTGGACGCTCGTGACATGCGCAAACCGGCGCGGTGGACGCTCGTGACATTCGGAAACCGCCCGCGAGCCAGACTGGCGCGGTGGAACGCTCGTGACATGCGAAAACCGCCCGCGAGCGAGACTGGCGTGGTGGACGCTGGTGACATGCGGAAACCGCCCGCGAGCGAGACTGGCGCGGTGGACGCTCGTGACATGCGGAGACCGCCCGTGAGCGAGACTGGCGCGGTGGACGCTCGTGACATGCGGAAACCGCCCGCGAGCGAGACTGGCGCGGCGGGCGCTCGTGACAAGTTTGTGCGGATCCATTTTCGGATTTCTGCGATTGGTTCTTCATGATGAATCGGATGACTTCGTGCCTTCCATGTAGCGCGGGGCCTGTCATCCGTGCCTTTGCCTTTTTCTCTGTGCTTGGTCAGAGCACAGGCTGCTGGCTGCCAATCCGGCTTGAGTCGCGGTTGCTCCCTGTTTTGGGGTTGATTTCCCAACTGTGAACAACTTAAATCTTGGTTTGCCTTCGGACCCTTGAGCCGGAAAACAACGGGATCCACATGCCGTGGGGAGTTAGGCTGGTTTGCTTTTGGGTTCCCGGGCTCCTCTTGTTTCCCTTTGCTGGCTGAAGGATCCCCCAATGCTTCATTCTTAAAACTCCAAGCATAGGTGATCTTTTGGAAAAGCGTAGCCCTGAGTTTTGTACACATACACCCCCCCCCCCACCACCCCCGAATTAATAACCCCCTTATCAATAACAACCTTCCCCCTTCTCAACAACTGATATGTTATATCTTCGTGTCTTGGCCCCTCGTCCGCGACAGACACACTTACTCCAGCCTTTAAGCAGAACAGTTTCGGAGCAGACCCCAGAGATGGGGGGGTGCCCTCTTTTTTACGGGGAACCCGCCAAATGGTGGCGTTGCTTCTGGCGCACAAACAAGCCCACAAGAGACAAGGTCCGGAAAAAGCACACCCACATCCTATCCATCATGGGGGCTGAGGAGGAGGGAGGGGAGGGGGAGGGAGCCCACCCTAAACAAGGCCTTAATTTCAGGGCTTAATCAGGGCTTACTTTGGGCTCCCCCTCCCTTCCCAGCCCCCATGAGAACTCCAGGATCCGAAAAAAAAACACACCCACATCCTACCCACCTGTCCAGCTCAGAACCTGAGAACTCCACCCGGACCGGACCTCAAAGAAGTTCACCCGGAAGCGCTCCGCCAGCCAGCCCGCCACCAGCGTCTGGTCGCAGAGCCCCGCCTCGCTCTGTGTCCTGAAGGCGCCAACGAGGCGCGGGGCGCGAGCCCGTGCGACAGTGGGGAGTGGGCAGCTATGGGCGAAAGGGGGCAGAAGCATGGGTCGATGTGAGGAGGTTGTGTTGCCACCTTTTCTAGTATATCATAATATATCTATGAATATATCATAATAGATCATAATATATATATATATACATACATATATATATATATATATTATAGCATATATACATTTTACATATATATATATATATATATATATATCGTATGTGTATATACTGCCTTGCAAGCTTCTATTGGTGGTAAGAATCCATACCGTAATACCCCCAAACCTGGACATGCCACTGATGGTATGGCCTGATGGACTCTTGGGGCTTACAGGTGTTGGGGCTCTTCAATGATCAGGTTGGGATGTTCGCAGTGGTTTGTTTAAGGGGCCCACGCCCCACGCTTTAAGGGAGCGTCCCTGTTTTACGGTGCTCTCAGTTGTCCGTTGTCCTGTTGCTGAAAGTGCAATGAGAGTGTATGTTTTGGGGGGGGGTTCTGAAATTTGGGCGCTTTGGTGTTGGGCTCTTCAGCGTCGCAGTCCGTCGCGGAGCAAACACAAACTGGCATGCCAAACACGTGCACGGGCACGGGGGCACGGCACGCACAGCACGCCACGCTCGCAAGCACGCATACACGCGCGCCCACACACACACAACACAACACAACACAACACAACACAACACAGCACAGCACAGCACAGCACAACACAACACAACACAACCAAACAAACACACACACAGACACAAACAAACAAACAAACAAACAAACAAACAAACAAACCCACAAACAAACAAACAAACAAACAAACAAACAAACACAGACAGACAGACAGACAGACAGGCAGGCAGGCAGACAGACAGACAGACAGACAGACAGACAGACAGACAGACAAGCAACTAACTAACGAACGAACAAACAAACGAACGAACTAACTAACTAACCAACTAACTAAGTAACGAACACACAAACAAGCACTTACTCAACTCCACTAACAAAACCATCAACAAATCCATTCACAGGAATGGAGGTTCAAGGGAAACCACTTGGCCCAAAATAGCCTTTTGAGAACCCCTCGTATTTGCTAGAAGGGAGCATCCGGTGCCAGCCATGGAGTACTCTATCAATATCCGACTCCAAATTCTACGGCCAAGACCCGGCTACACCTTTGCCTGGGGCAAATACACCTCCTGTAGGTTTGGTCAAAAAGGAAAATGAAGGAAGCCAGGTCAATCAGGCAAGCTGAGTCCTCTTACTTCTCTCACCCTCGGTCCTAGAGTTGTAGCGCTGCAAATCCGCTTCCGTCGCCTCACCGAGGAGCTTCACCAAGCCTGCAACTGCGTCCCGATGCCGAGTCAAGGTCAAGGGGCGACTTCGGAAGTCGGGGGAGGATCTCAATTCCAAAATGGCTTGCCCTGGTAAGTGGAAACATGGACCAAAACCTGCAGTTTGCCCCTGCTCAATTTTGAGCCACACCCATATTCATGACCCCCGCACATTGCACACTGGCCACTTGGGTTCTTGACCCAAAGACTCCTGCTGTTTCCATTTGCGCCGCGGAAGGGATCCCAGGGATCCTTTGGCATGGCCACAAGTCCAAGACTCAACTCGGATTGCGTGCGGATTCTCGATGTTTTCGGATTGGTTGCTACGCGGATAATCTGGCCATTTTTGCTGGCCGCTCGGAATGATCTGGCCGAAAATATCACGCCCAGCAATTGGAGAAGAAACACTTCCAGGAGCTACAAAAGGTGGCGCCGCGTGTAGCCCATGCTAAGGCTGCATCCTGCATCCCTGTGTTTCGCTGACACCTGGCAGTGTTTATGCGCCAGCCGCCTGGTCAAATACATTTACTCCCCTTCAAGTTAGCATGGAACTCAAAACAGGGGGTTCTCAAATGAAGCGTCAACCACAGTGGTTGCTTCGGTCCCACGTTGATCAGTAGAGTGAGCTCCGATTGTTCAAAAGTTCCTTATCAAGCTTTGGAAAAGAGTCTTTGGTCTGGTGTTGTCCAATGTTGGGCGGGCCCCACATAAATCATGGCCCAAAAAGGGTACTACTTTCCACAGGCCTCCAGAGCAAAACTCGAACCGTCGATTCAACCATTCGACTTGCTTAGATTCCTCCAGGCGACCAAGGGCAACCCCTTTTGTGACGCCAAATGCTTGACGATTGCTTATAAGGGGGGGGCAACGAGATAACAAGCGACCAGTTGGGAAGCGGACTCGAATTGCGTTCGTCTCAAACTTGGCACCCAAAACATGGCTGGTATCCTTCTAGTTTGCTTTGAACAGCCACCCCAAAGTATGGCATTGGCCGCACCAAAAACACCCCTGCCCCGAAATCCCCAAATTTCGGGGGCTTTCTAAGAACCTCCCGGCCTGCATGGATCTCGGCGTCCGGCTTAAGGACCACCACCCCGTAGTTGAAGGCATCGCTCAGGTCCTCACCAAACCTCCCCTCGCCGCCATCGTCCGGTTTTGGTTTTTCGGACTGGGGCTGGGGGACTTAGATGGCCAGGAGGCGTTTTCTTCGGGAGTGCCGAAAATGAAAAGCGGGATTTGGCCACCGAGGCGCGAGGAAAAAACAAAGAGGGGAAAAAACAGCTTGTTTGACCAGGCAAGGATGGAAAATCAAGGAAACAAATGGTCCCTCTCCCCTCACAATCCACCAGTGTCAGAGAAGGGACGCCCGCGCGCCGGCAGCGAGCTTCCATTGATTTGAGCTCTGTGGGGTCCGCCCTTGCCGGGAAACGGGCAAACCCGATTGACTTTGGGCCTTCAAACAACCAGGTTTCGAGACCCCGAACTCCTCCGGGGTGTCTCATGGAGGGGCCGGGTCTTCCATTGAAAGCCCCAGGAGCCTCTGGGCTACTTGCAACTGTCAGGAAACGCGCTCAAGCTCCATGCAGTCCAAAAAGAAACAGAACGGAAGATACGACCCTTGGCACAGCTGCCAGGCTGAGCCCCGTCATCTGAGTCCCTTTTTGCTGAACTCTGGAACAAGCCGACCTTAGTGTTCGCCCGCCCACAAACACCTGTCAAGATCATGCAAAAAATGAAATTTGCCTAAGGGTTTGGAACCTTTCTTTTAGGATTGGCTCCGCTTTTGCTCCAGGTCTCGGATCCCTCCGGCACCCCGACCCCCTCTTCCCCGCATCGGTCTCCGATCCTTGCCGGCGCTGAGCGCAGGCAGCCGCAGCAGGGGCCGGAGGCTCCTCTTGGCCAAGAGGTCGCCGTCCAGGAGCACCACCTTCCTACGAGAGCGCGCCATGAGACTGGAGGGACGCTGGAAATTCTGCATCGTTGAGCCACCCACAGAGCCATGAGACTGCTGGAAATTCCGCATGCACCCATGCAACACGAAGGGGAATGCTGGAAATGCTGCATGCAGGTTTGAAGGTTTCTTCATTTGTATCGGGACTACTTCTACTTGAACCCTTACACTATACACCTGAACATTGCCTTGTAAATGGTGGGGTCCCTTTATTTTGGTGGAAAAAGCCACGTTTCAAATGGTTGCAAAATGTAGCTTTTAAGGAGCCCTGTTGAAGGTTTGGTTTTAGGGACTGACAAGAAATTACACTCCCCTGCATGAAGGCAGTCATAACCTATGCACGGATCAACATGTCGGATGGCGGTTTGAACACCCGTGCACCACCTATTTTGATGTTCACCAGGGGTTCCTGGGTTTTGACCACCGCAGCCATGGGATTACTTCTACTTTTGAGTCTAAGGTTTGTCTTGGGACTTCTGGACCTCTGACTGTACTCAACCTGGTGTTAGCTACTAGAATGGCATCAATGGCCACGTGCCGCAAAGAGCAAGTCCCCTGGTTTTATTTCGCACCCTTGTATCTTTTTGCGGTAAAACAATTTAGCAGTGATTTTTAGCTGCCCAATTTTAACCGCTGTGAATAAAGGGTTATTCAGAGGCAGCAAGCAAACGGGGGGACTCGCCAATCTTCCTGGCCGTCTCTCCATAGGCCTTTCAAGCACTTTGACTAGGGTGTAAAATGGAACCTGGCGTTACAGCCCACCGTGTTTGGTTGGTTTCCTAGGCCATGATTGGTTGATTTCACAGCATTGGGGGGGCTGCAAAATACCGTGCTCGTTTTGTCTGAAGGAACGATTTCTGCCGTTAGCCATTCCACCGCGCCCAAACCACCATGTTTGCCGATGTTCAATCCTTACGGGCAGGTGGGACCCGGAGTGGGTGCGGCAAGAACTTGCCAAAACATAAAGTCGTGTCCGGGCGCAAAAACAAAAACGCCACCATTCTGTAAAGGGTCGTGTCCTTGAGAACCCTTTGGAGCACTCCAAATTCGCCCCCCCTCCCCCCCAGAGGCTCCTGGGGCTTTCAATGGAAGACCCGGCCCCTCCATTAGACACCCCGTTCTTCTAGCGAAACAACCAAAAAGGACACCTATGGATGTTGTTGGTTGATCGCTGAGTCGCTCATAGCCCAGCGCGGGGTCCCAGGCGTGCACCTGCAGAGTGTCATGTGGGGTTTTTTCTCGGTCACCAGCCACACCCCACGTGCCCTTTGGGCGCTTCAGCCCCTGCTTTCTCTGGGTCTTCGCCTCAATATGGCCGTCTCATTTGCACACACTGGGACTTTTTTTGTTTCTAGCAACCAGAAGGTTTCAACAGGTGCCGAATGCCAAGCAAAACTTTACCCTTGCAATTCCGGGGAAATTGTTCTTTCGCGACACAACACAGCAGCGAGACAAACAACGCTCGGCGCTGGCAGGCTGGCTGGACTGAGTTGGGATTCAGTTGGGAGCGAGGGGCTGAAGGCCGCAGGAACTAGGTGGGGGGGGGGGGATTGGGCTGCCCGCCGTGTTGGATCTATTCTCTCTTGGCCTGAAGGGAATCTGGAATGCGTGGAGGGGAGGCAATTATCTTTTGCCCCCTCCAACAAGCTGAGACATGAAAAAGCCTGGTCCCGGACTATCTATCCCCTAGAAAGTCTTGTGCCGGTGGCCAAACGAGGACTTGGCCGCAGCTTACGGATGGTCATGAGATGCAACGAGGGCAGGCCCTCAGCGTTTGGCCAAAGTAGGCCGGCCACCAAGAACAAGGAGCCCAGGAAGGTGCCTACGCAACTAAGCTACAAAACATACGTGTCATAGCTTACATGACGTATCACGCACACACACATTGCATAAACAATCATTACAGCGCGCGTGATGCCATGTTCTGTAGGTCTCAAACTCGCACTGGGAGTTTCCATCGGATTCAGCGAGGGCGTTGATATTCGGGTGTGCTTCTCTGCATTGCCTCGTACTTGTTCCTTTTCTAGCATCTAGAAAACAGTTGTAGGATACTCAGATGCCCAGTGGACATGGGAAAAAAGCCATCCTTTTGACACGTGGCGCTTCGAGGTGCGAGGCGCAGGTAAACAGGGGCATGCCGCCACCTGAACCTAGATAAAACGGGCATCTAGTGCCCCGCGAAGCCGATGTGCAGGGGGCAATGCCACACCCCACACATGGCGAAATGGGCAGCGTGCTGCGAAACAGGGTGCCGCACGAGGTGGCACCCCAGGCACAGGAGGCCCACCCATTCTGCGCGGTGCCAGGCCAAGTGGCCAGGGCCTGGACACCACACTGCACAGGCCACCACAAAGCGCCAGGCCAGAGACTCATCATTTTGCAAGCTCAACAAAACCAGCAAAAACTCCACCACAGCTCCGAAGAGGTAGAGAAGAAGCACCACCATGGACCACCACCAGAACAAAGTCCAAGCCCGAACGGGAAAAACAGCTCGGAGTACCTTCACCAATAAGGCGTTCAGAGGAAAGAAGCAAGCCGCGAACAGAGCCAATCCCCACAGAAGATTGGAGCACGCAAGGCCAGAAATCCAACACTGGTACCACGAAGTGTAAGGGCAGCGCCATCGATCTGCAGAATAGAGCCGCCCCATGGAGCCGAGACAATGTAGACCGCCTGGTAGTAGTAGCCACGAGGAAGTGCCGAGAGAAGACCAAAGAACAGGGCCCATCCCTGCATACAAAGATGGGCACATGCAATGATGCCCCCTCCAAACTGATCCACACCTCGAAGCCAGGGTGAAGTAGAGACAAGTCCCACAAGGTGAAAGACCCAAACTGGCCGAACAAAAGCAGCGCATCAGTCGAAGGAGTCGACAGGTGTATGAAAATCTTGAGGAGCCAGCAGAAATACACGACATACACCATACGAGCTCGATGAAGAGCTCGACGACAACCAGAAAAGCCGAGCGGCCGCCAGGGGAGGCTGCCTTGTTGGACGCCACCCCTCCATGGAGAGGCAGCGAGGCCCAGGGGGCTCAGCTGCCAGAACCCAACGGCTCAGAGGCTCACTCTGAGCCGAGAGGGCTAAAAAGGCATCCTTTTTTGGGTGGTTGAGTTTAAAGGGGAGCCCTTCCCCCAAAAAAGGCAACAAGGGCGCCACTGAACGACAAAGGATATGTTTGTAGATTCCAGGAGTTCGCCGTGTTTGGTACAGGCACCCCACGGATTTCACAGCGCATCACCGTTGATACTCTCTGAGGGTTCGCGCTGCTTCGATTCCAATGCCCGAGTATCCGGGGGTGTCGCTGTGAAGCTTCGTCCCGCACTGCCCACTTTGGAGGGCACAGCAATAGTGAGAGGATCCCCGCATTCAGGCGCGGGACTCTCCTTTTGTCTGATAGATTACTTCAAGGGAGTGTCCCCTGGCCGGAGTTCCGCGGTTGGACTTCCCCAATGACATTGTCAGCGCCTCTTTTCGTGGCCGAATTTCTCGAACTCGAAAGGACGCCCCTTTTTCAGCTAAAGAGAGAGAGGGAGAGAAAAAGAGAGAGAAAGAAAAAGAGAGAAAGAAAAAGAGAGAGCTCTCAGAACTCTCCTTTCAACAAAAAGAAAAAGGAAAAACCGGAAGCACTGGAGCTGCGAAAAATGTTCCTTACGCGCACACCCCACTGCCGGCCTTCACGAAGGCCCCTCCATAGGAAATGGGCTGCAAGACTTCGAGCAGCCCTTGCCTATCAGATGCGCCGCCCTTGCCGCCCTCGCACCCAAAAAGGGTTGGTTGTGGGTTCTCAAAAAAACACTTCAGAAGAGAACCAGCAAACCGAAAAGTCGAATTCATGAATTCGAAACCATAAGCCCGCTCAAAGACTTGAGAAGTCCTGCCACCCTGCCGCCCCGGCCCTCGCACACAAGAAACCCGCGCACACAAAAACCAAAACACGTTGCAGCTGGGGACATACTGTGGATGGACACAATCCTGCACCACCTACGAAACCATGGTGTCTGATGATTCCCCTGTAAATACCAACTAACATTGGTTGCTCATGGTTTGAAAGTGAGGCGAAATGTATTTCCTCCATCCACAGTATGGCGAGCCATATGAAAGCCCCAATGTCGAAGCGACATTTTGACGCAGAACACCTGTTTTGAACATCCCTGGATCTGAAATTCCGAATTCGCCCGGGGAGAAAGCACCCTTGGGCCACAGCCCGTAGAATCGAATGTCTCCAAGAGGGCACGCCTCAAAAGCGAGGGGCCTACGAAAACCCACGGGCTTTGGCTTTCTTGATGGAAGCTGGGCGCCTGTTTGGAGCCATAGCGCCATCGGCTTTCAACCACTGGGCCTTCTTGTTGCTCAAGTCAAATGGGTGAGCACACCTACGAGTGGGAAACCACCAGGTGGTTTGACCATTGCGTGAAGTTGAAGTGCTGCTTTCCCTTGTGCTCCACAGAGCCCCCCCTAAGAAGTAGCAGGTAGGGAAACGCCAACCACAGAAACGGTCAAAATCATGACCCCGGAGCAGCCCCCCCAAAAAAAAACAAAAAAGAGTGTGAGAGTTCAAGCCACCTCCGGATTCTCCTTCCAATCCCAATGCTAAACCAACCATCTTTTCAAAAGGAACACATCCACCGCCGAGACTTGGACCTGGCTATAAAGATGATGGGCACCAAAATAGATGGGCTCCCAAGAATTGCTTTCCTCTTGGCTTCTCTTACCAACCTTAAAGGGCAGAAATACCCTTCCCACCTTGCCATGGCACCTGTGGGAGGGCACCTAGCGCTGTGAGGTGCCATGGCAACGTGGAGAGAGGGTACCCTCCCAAAAAAATAAGCTCAGGTGACATCCCCGTGGAACCCTCGTGGAACCTTACCTCAGGGACGCCCCGGACCCCGGAGCCTATCTGGGCGACCCCAAAGCCTTCAGCTGTTGGGGAAAATCAAAAAGGATCAACAAGTTGTGGCAAGGCCAGCCATCAACACCCGGCAACTCGTGTCATCGAACCCGGCGAGAGCTCGCCCTTCGTCCCAGGGGCTCCTGCAGCCTGGCGCGCTCCTGGCGCATGGCGCGCTGCAGCGCCTTGCTGGGGCGCAGGGGTCGCACCTCCACCACCTGCGAGTGACGTGAAAGAAAAAACTCCGATAGTGTCAAACCGGGTCGCGGCGGGGGTGGGTGGGTGGGGGGGGCTCGCGGGGGGGGGGAAGGACTTTAGGGCTGCAAACGGGCTACTCATTGCGGGACACAACAGCAGCTATTGAAAGCAGAGCGTGCGGCATGTCACGTTGTAGGCAGTCACCGTGGTAGTTAATAAAGAAAAGACATAAGGCACCACAGCTGCCAATCGGTGAAAGAAGCTAGTCAAAGAAAGGCTTCCAGCATGTCACATTGCAGGCGGTCACCGGGAAACAAATTCTGGGGCGGCACATTAGCAAGTGAAAGACTTGCCTCCACCATGTTGCATGGAATTGTAGGCTGTCACCAGGAAACAAATTCGGCGACAGCACGGCAGCTATTGAAAGAATGCCTTTCAGCGACGTTGCAGGCGGTCAGCGTGGTACAAATTGTAGCACACCACGGTTGGTGGAAGAAAGGCTTCCAGCGCGTCGCGTTGTAGGCAGTCCAGGTAGAAATTGAGGGGAATCAGCCAAGAAAGGGCCTGCATGTCACATTGGCCGGCACCACTGGACTGGCCTCAGATCCCCTACAAGTGACTAACTTCTAGTGGGTGAAATACGGAAACTACCACTAAACACGAAAAGGCTAAAAGCTAAGGAACCGGATGGCCGGGAGCCAAGACCAGTGCACAAATTGTTGGACAATACAGCAGCTAAGGGCTTCCAGGATGTCACTTGTAGGCGGTCCCCTGGTGCAAACTGTGGGACACCATAGCAGCTCGCGCAAAAAAGGGGCATTCGGCATGTCTACATTGTAGGCGGTCACCCGGACAAATTGCGGGTACAATTTGTGGGACAAAACAGCAGCTAGTGCAAAAGCAGGCTTTCAGAATGTAAAGGCACAAATTCTAGAACACAAAGGCAGCTATTGAAAGAATGGTCTAGCATGTCTATATTATAGATGGTCACCGGGGTGGCTGCCTTTTCAAGGAAGGGCTCTAGCATGCCACATTGCAGGCGGTGACCCGGATGCAACTTGTGGGACAAAAACAAACTTCAGCATGTCACATTGTAGGCCCTCAGCCGGGTACAAATTCTTCGGCACTGCTTAGTGACAAAAGGGCCAGCAAAGCCCTTCACATTGTCTGTCACTTGCAAAGAATCCACCACCCCCCATCCCCTTCCCCCCCCCCCCCGGGTATGGACATAAATGAATGGTTCGAGCGTGTAAAGCTTTGCTGTCATTGCACAACACATCTGAGTGTCTCGTTTCTGGAGTGTGTTACTCAAAAATAGGATCTCCCAACACAGGAGGGGGCGTCCTCGTGTTTCCCCTTAACCACCCAACCAACGAATAGGGGGGCTCCAAAGAAACACACCCTTGGGGGTGTTAATCAATATTCCTGACCCCAAAAGGTAGCTTTCCCAGTTCGGAAAGTCATCTTGTCCTGGACGGTTTGGCCCCTGGTGCTCCAAGACGGGGGCTCCTTCTTGCCAAAAATACCCTTGTAAGGGGTTGGTTCACAGCGAGACCACAAGGTGAAAACCATAGCTGTCCTTTAGGTTGGAAATAGATGGGTTTCCCTGGTAGATGCTTCAACGACCAGGTAAACCAGGAATCGAACCACCAGAAAGGACACCTCAAAAAACTAAACACCCCCAAAAATGGGGCATCCACAAAAAGCCTGCTGTTCACACCCCATTTCAGAGGCACCCAAAAAGCCAAAAAAAAAACAGAAGCCCCGGGCGCCTTCACCTTGAGCGCTCGGAAGCGCTGGCGCCACCAGCTGGACACACCACCGCCCGGGACAAGCAGCACCCGGTCGGCGCCTCACGGCTGTTTTGCATGGAAGGCCCATGGGTTTGGCGCACCGCCCGGGGGGTTTTCGAGGCTGGAGATTTATCTGTTCTGCTACTTCCCTAGACTTAGGATTATGTTTAAAAGTTTCCCGTGTTTCCGTGTGGTTGTCCGTTTTTTTCTTTCTGTCTTGCATGCTGCTGATGTGGCTGGTGTTTTGCGCGTGTGTGGGTTTTTTGCGGCGCGTTGTCTGATGCACGTGTCTGCGAGGGTGTCTTATGTAAGGGGGGGAGGGGGACCCTGGCAGTTACATTTCCAAGGGGCCGAGAGAGGGGTTTGGCAATACCACACCTGAAAAGCAATGGAAACTCCATTGCTTGTGTCCGCTTCTTCAGCATCTTTAGGGAACTGAATTTTTGAGCGGTTCGAAGCCTCCTTTCCAATATTTTTCTCGGGTTCCCAACAAACCTTGCAAGGTTGGGCTTTGCCAAGGACCCGAATTTATGATTTCAAGCTGCGTCTTGAAATAGGGCGACCAATTTTTGGGTGGATTGACCGACGCACCCTCGTCGTCGCTTTCACCTTGTCCTGCAGATCCTGGTCCGCCCTCTTTGTCTAATACTAGTTTTTTGCAAAAAACTTGAACCATTCAATTTTCACCAGAAGAATATTGAATCATTCGTGTTTTTTGGAAACACACAAAAGTTCACACACACGGCCGCAACTTGACACACTGTGGATCACGTTTGCGTCTGACGGACGGGGGACGCATTGATTAAAACTAGGCGCGGCCGCAAGGATGTGTTGCTTGCCTGAGCTGAAAGCTGCAAACAATTGTTTTACCGTAGGCGCAGAAGCCCAGACTGCACGCCATGATCTATCCCAAGGTTTTAAATGGCTTAAAACTGCTGATTCCCATCTGTTCTTCCAGCTTGGTCACAGGAAGATGGGCGCCCGTTTTTCACCCCCTCAGTTCCGCCAGACACACACAGGCCCGCAGATAATGTGTGTGCAAATTGTTGGTTCAACCGATTCACTGACAGCTGGCAGCACGTACTTTCAGGCCCGATTAGTCAGTTGCATGTGTACCCTTGGCTAACTGAAAGGTAAAATTGCAGCTTTCCATCTTTCAACTCATCCACTGAAAGATGGAAATCAAATTTCACCTTTCAGTCCTGCCAGTACGCATGTGTGGGCCAACACTGAGAGGTAGAAGCGGTGGTTTTCAGTTTCAACTGACCCGTCGAGGCTGGCAACGCTGTGCTTTCACGCACCATGGCTTTGAACTGAAAGGTAAAATTGCCGTTTTCCATCTTTCAGCTGATCCACTGAAAGATGGCAAACATAATTTTACCTTTCAGCTCCGCCAACGTGAGCGCAGGTCGTGGTGTAGATTGAACACCCTATTCGCAAGCTGAAAGGTAAAAATCGTGGTTTCCAGCTCTCAACTGACTCATTGAACGCTGGAAACGCTGCCTTTACCTTCCAGCCGACACTTACAGAGTTGTTTGTGTGTACCTAAGTGAAAGGTAAAATTGCTGTTTTCCATCTTTCAACTGATCCACTGAAAGATGGAAAATGTAATTTTACCTTTCAGTTTCGCCAATGTGAATGTGTGTGGTGTACATTGAACACCCTACGTGCAAGCTGAAAGGTAAAACCTTTTTCAGCGTTCAACTGACCCATTGAACGCTGGAAACGCGGCCATTTTACCTTTCAGCCTCGATTGAAAGGGCAGACCTGCGCGTGGCCTACTGGAAGGTAAAACTGCCGGTGTCCATCTTTCATCACGCTGAAAGATGGAGGCGCGTACGGCTTTGCCTTTCAGTTTTGCAGACATGCATGTCACTCTCGCTGAAAGGTAAAAACTGTTGCTTTCCATCTCTCGGCTGTTGAGCTGACAGATGGAAACACAACGTTTTTTCCTTTCGGTTCTGCCATATATTTGACAGGCTCCGTCGCATGTTCGACGGCTCAAGCTGCGGGAATGCCGATGGGCATCACGGCCCGCCTGAAGCTGCTGGCAAAGCGGACCAGTGCGCCCATTCAGCCAGCTTGAGCCTGCGTTGGGATGATTGCACGCGTGTGCCACAATGCATTTACTTATTTGGCTCTAGCTTTTTGAGGCACATGCCGCCAGAGGCGCCGCGCACCCCGGAACAAAGCCAAAGCTCGCGCCCCGAGCCCTGCAGGGACCCTGAACTCGCACAGGCGGACCAGTCCCAACAAGCGCACGCAGAACAGCAAGCTCCTGCGCAGCCAGCCCCCCGCCGCCGCTCAAAATCCCGGAAGCGCGACCTCGTTGAAGTAGATCGCCTGGTTGTCTCTGCCCGCAGGGTGCTCAAGCGAGGCACCCACATCCTGGAAGACCAGCTCAAGTTTCAAAGGGAACAAGAGCTTCGCGAAATCTGGCTGCACCACCGCATCGCCAATCTCGAGCTCATCATAGAGGAGCTGACCGCGCCAACCTCACCAGCCCCGACCGGTCCTTGCAGGAGGGCGAGCTTCGCCCAGGGCGGGTGCCGCAGCAGGTCTCCTTCGCACAGCAGGCTTCGCTGGTCGCCAAGCCCAAGGCGCCAGTGCGGCCGGGCCCACACGCCTAGCTTTGGCGGAAGGGGGGGGGGAACAAGCCAGCAAGCAGCGCAGCTCACAACCTGGATACCCTACACTTCAAACACACGCCCTGCGCACAGTTGGTTCACGCATGCATCATACGCAGCACGCATGGCATATTGCCACTCGCCTCGCCGCCCACACCCCCGCAATTGTGTGTTCAAAAGCCAATAGCAGAGCGCATCACCAGCACCTTGCATCAATCTAGATCTGGTTTGGCTGCCATGGCATGCAATCTGGAAGAGGATGGTCACCAGCTGGAGGCCTGCTTGTGGTTGCCACGCGTCGCTGAAATTGCAATTCTTTTCACCAGGCCATCGTGGTGAACGCCTTGGGCAAAGCATTGGCACCCCTCCTTTGCCACGCCAGCAGCGCCACGGCTTTAAGGGCTCACGTGTTCCTTCCCAGCTGCCAGCCTGCTTGCCCAGGTGCGGACTCTGTGGCGGAAGGCGCGAGAAGTTTGCGGACATCTCCATCAGCCTCCCGCTCAGCTTTGTGGAGCATCAGATGTACGCTCCGGTGCACGCGACGCTGACATGCTTGCGCTGCTTGTTTGCAGGTAACGCGCTCACACTTCGCATTCGCATTCGGTCTGGCACGCGCTGAGGCGATTTGAAGGTCCCACGCACGCCGGCGCCCAGGACATTTGAGGCCGCAGCCACTCAGCCGAAGCACATTCACTGACCCACAACACACACAAGCGCCCCGTTTTTTGCCCAGGTCTGCATCGCGGCTTCGACCATGAACAGCTCTGAGCAGGCCCTCCTGGCTTCGCTCCTCAAGCGCGCTGTCGCCCGGCTGAGAACCCTCGCGTCGAGGACAACGTACTTCTGGCATGTGTTATTTTTGGGCCGATGCTAGGCAGCATGTGTGCCTCCGATAACGCTTGCCAGGGGGGCCAACAGCGTCAAGATCGAGGTGCTCAAGAACTTGCCTTGGCCTTACCTTTCATTCCAGTTTTGAACTTACGGTCATGTGTCTTCTGAGTTTGGCAAGTTGCTGGAATAAGGATTTGGAAAAAGGAGCCGATCGAGGACTCCTCCAGTTTGCGCGGCGAGCTGGATGAGCTGTGTCTCGGCTTGACAACGTCACAAGTGTGCTACTCCCAATCCAACTGCCACTTCCCCCCGCCGATGTCGTGACCCCAGGCTGCACCAATCTCCGGAGCCTGCTTCGTCCGCTGCGGACACGGCCGCATCGTCAGTGCCCAGCTCCTCGGAGCCAGCTGGCGACGTTTTGAAGGCCTGTGCTGCAGGGGGTTGCGCGGACAGGCTCATTTCTTGTTTAGTTGGGTTTTCGCAGGAGCTCAAGCGCAAATATGAGGAGGCGTGCCTGGAAATCTTCGGCCACGAGCCTCTGCTTAGAGTGGGACAGCTGAGAAATTGACGATACAGTTTTGACAAACTGCATCGTCATTTTCCAAGAATTGAAATTGAAAAGTGTCAGTTTCAGCGAAACTGCACTTTACAATTTCATCTTGAGTTGTGCCCTGTGCCACCTAGGGCCCAATCGAGGTGGAGGACGAGCTGGAGCCCACAGCGGCGCTGCTCGACCGGGACCGCCTGCATGTGGACCCTGCTGCACAGGACTGCACGTGGCGTGCTAGCTAGCGCATCACAGCCATTAATGTACGGCTGTTTGCAGCCATACATGCGTGGCAGGACCCAGCTGCAAAGGCGGAAGGTTTCGGTCGCTCCGGATGCCAAGGCCGTCAAGGCCCCCAACGCTGCCGACCCCACGGCCGCCGACCTCAAGCCTGGAAAGGCGCCCAAGAAGGCTGCCAAGGCCAAGGCCCGGGCAGCCTCCCCAGAGGAGATCAAGTTGCAGGCCCAGCGGGTCTTCGCGAGAAGGATGAGGCCCAAGACCCCAGCCGCACTGGAGGTCTGGGACATCATCGGCCTGAAAGTACTGTTCATGGTGAGTTCGCCACATGTGCCTCATTGATGTGTTCCGCATCTCAGGAAAATCGCCCCGAGCCTGCAGTTCAAGCACAACATGAAGTCGCAGTACCAGTGGTGGGACACAGCCCACGCCAAGGTGCACAGCATGGCAGGGGCGCGCACAGCCACGGCAATGAAGGACACACTCCTCATGCTGGCACCGGTGTTTTTGACCGGGTTTGACCCGGCCGAGTAGCCATCCGGGCGCTTTTAAACAGGCTGAGGCGCAGTGCCGAGCACATCCAGCAGCAGTGCAAATCCACCACACCATCTCAAGCCACAACCTCAACAGCATAGGCAGATGCCAGACATCAAGCAGACCTGCAAACAAGCAAGCCGCCACACTTTACCCAAGCTCACAAACAAACGAGTGCCAGCCAGGGGGGGAGAAGAACCAGCTAGAGCGAAGAGAAAAACCGCACGCGCAAAACAACTCACGCACGCACGCAGCAAACTGTACCCCAGCAATCTGCCGGTCT